GATGATATTAGGAACAATCCTCCGAATACGTATGACAGCTCCACAGAGGCTCCAACCATGGAGGAATATAAGAGCATTAACAAGAGTCACATCAATATCAAGGACTCTAGAACAAGCCACCCGGCTTCTTTTCTCTCTCTTACTGGCTACGAAGACAAACTGGTGCTCGACGCACATTACGAGATAGTTCGCAAGAGGATGGCCGGTGTTAACGAGAAGAGAGAATACATTGAAGGCTCAAACCCAGACAGCGTATCGCTAAACCTAGTGGTATTCAACTGGGGAAATATGGATCGAGCGCCGGTGCCCGCAGGGAATCCCAAAAAGAAGCTCAAAACTGAGAAGGGATTCGATTATCACCCTCTTATTGACATGTGCTTCAACAATTCAGCTCATATTACCCTCGTACTCGAGGCAGGAGCACTTGCGTCAGAGTATTCGATCGCAACCATGCGACAACATGAATACAGGGGGATGCTAATCCATTCTCATCCCAAGGAGCCTGAGGCACCCTCGATGTATATTGGAGTCAAGGGTGACCCAACAACAGACATCGCTCTCGTCCACCACTTTTACCGTCATCGAACAATGAAGCCTAAGAATGGTGGTCCCAAGAAGCGACTGTGGGCATGCCACGGTGCGGTATGCCGCCTCACCTTTGGGTACCACAGTACCATACCAGAGGCAAAAGAATGGTTCCACCCATATTCTGGCCAAAGGATGACGAGAGACGAGTTCATGCAGATTATCGGATATGACCCACTCAAGGGCAAAAATCCTGACAAGGATGGACCCACTGATGGCTCTTACCTCTCACCAGAGGCGTGTCTGACATTGTCGAACCTCGACCCCTCGCCGATTCTCTGTGAATGGAACGGCCATGTCGAGGGTGATGAGCCACCAGAGGAAGACTTTGAGTCATACGCAGAGATCTTCTCACAAGAAGCATCGAACGATCTTGACGAGATGTGGTGTACAAAAGGGCCTTACAAGGTCATCACCATCGCGATCGTCCATTTCAACTCATTCATGACTCATAAGGAAGAACAGAGAAGCGAACTGGTGAACGCGTTCCTCAACGAGATTCTCCCTTTTAAACCGGATGTAATAGCGGGAGATCTCAATAATATTGCGTCGAGGCTCACCTTAAAAGGTGGAGACGTTCACCCGCGAAACAGTTTGTTTTCTCTATACCTGGAGAAGAAACTTGCAGCATTCAACAAAATAGCAGGAAGGCACTCACAAGTGCGACATCTTTGCTTGAACAACTCCGACCAGCACAGACTGGCACGTGCAGATCGTCTACCGGCGGACCCGGCGAAGAAAGTTGCTGACCTTGACTGTATCAACAGTTATATCCTTGACTGGAGTAAAACGCCGCACACGGCGTCACCTAGTCCAAGAGAGGTCACACCTGCCGCCGAAAGAACATACTGGGAACGAATCTCAGATATGTGGCAGGACACGAACAACAACAGGGATATTGATATCCGTCTGTTTGTCTCAGTCAAGCAGTACTATTCAACTTTTTCTAACCTTGACCTATGGTTGAGTCCCACTGACAAAGATTGGCACAGCCCTTTGGGCTTCACGATACAACCAATCCTTACAAAAGGGAAACACAACCGGTCAGATGCCCAGGTCCAAAAGATCGCTGACAAGCGAAAGGCTTACAAGCAGCGTAATGCTGAATACTGGGGTTACAACGATTCATTCGTTTACTCATCCGGCAACAGCTGGTACGACAAATCGCAACCATCAGGTAGCCATCACAGATATGGAAGATTCTGGGAGTGGCCACAGCCTGAACGTCCCAGCGAGCCTGAAGGTCCTCCTCCAAGAAGGAACCAGGAATCATCGTCCTCTTCACAACAAGATCTACCAAGATCAAGGTCCAGGCCTCAAAGAACCAATATTGTTGACAAGCTCAACATGTCTTTGGAAGAGCTGGATGGACTAGAAGAAGAACCGTCACCAACAAAAAGTGACATCGAAGAACACGAAAGAGAAACATCAAACTTGATGTCTGCTCAGAGAGATGAAGAGGAACAAGAGGACGAATCCTCCAGCCGGAGAAGAAGAAGGAAGGCATCGCGTCCACCGTCTGCTCCGAGCGGCAAGGCACTCAGAACAGCTGCTACAGCAGCGGGGTTGTCGGGCTGGTTCGGACACCGCAACCGAGGTGGAGCGAACGCAGAGTCTATCAAGACTGATGAAACTTCACTTCCAAACTCACTAACCAGTGAGCAGGACTTCTCCGTCTTCAGCATCGCGTGGAATGTGTTCCTGCTGCTAATGGGCTTACACTGGATGTGGAAGCAGATTACCAGGCCTCCTATCAGATGTATGGAGCGCCAACAACCAAAATCAAAAGCAGCAGCGAACCAAAGAGTTCCATTCCTCGAACCCGAGGATGAACCGCAGACGCGTGAACCTTTAGGACCCAACAGGGTCAATTCCGGAGAAACAACTGATCTGCGACCTATCTGGCATACTTCCCGAAGCGAAGTCTACCATCTCTCAGACAGCTGTTACCAGCTAAGCAAGCAAGAGATGTTTGCAAGAAGGTGCTGTGCAAAAACTGCCTCCATGCAGTACAAGTTGCGGAGATTCGCAGGAACGATCCTTTCCAAAGAGGTGATACACGACCACGTGGCACCGAAAGAGACATTGAGCGCTTCCAGACCTACGATGATGCAAGTAACACTCCTCATATGACACAATTATTCAAAGATGCCTTGCATGCACAAATGGCCGAGGAAGCCATGCAGATTACCTATACATCGATCCCCAAGGGATCCTCGGCAAAGGCCAGAGGTACATCTGCACTCTCAAGTGCCGCATCGTCATCAGCGCCCAAGGCAATGCCACCAGGGCCTAACAAGGCAAACATATCACCTCCACCTAAGAGTCCTCCGCCAAAGGCGAAAGGAACAGTACCTTCTGATCCTCCAAGACCAAAAGGTCCTACCAGAAGAGGAGGTCAAAATCGGCGCATTCAACGAAAGGCAGCTAGAGAAGCCCACAACAGTGGACTCTGCACCTATGCAGACGCTGCACTTAACGAAGCCAATCAAGGCCAGGCAATTAACGTTACGTGCCGAAACATGGCAGCAAGACACGTCAGCTCTATCGATGCAACGGTAGAAGCAGCCGGCCAGTTTACACAACGCGTGCTACAGCACGTAGAAACATATGATGAAGAGGAACCGTGGAGCACGGAGTTCCTACCAGTCGTGGAAGTCCTATTCAGGAACTTAAGCGGCGACGAAACAACTGTCATACATGACAATCAAACGGTAACTATGCCTCTTGCGAAATACACAGACCTCCTCAGAATCGCACAATCATTGCGAAGCTCTATCCAGAGAGACAAGGAGGAAAGAAAGGAACATCTTGACACCATCCAAGATACTCTATCCAGAGTGGAAATCCTTCTAACAGCACTGAAGGACTCAAGGACAGTCTTAACCAATTGGTCCATTCCTCACTAGAGATAGAGCGAAGAAATAACAATCTCAAAAATGTCCTCGAGACACTCTTTGACGACCAAAGCTCTGAGGAAGACCAATCAGAATCTGACAATGAAGAAGTCCTAACTCCTTCTGCACCACAGTACTGGAATAGCCTTTATGCCCACGCCTTATCTCCTTCAGGAGATGAAAGTGAAAGATCATGGGCGTCCTCAGACGGACAGCTTGAAAGAAGAAGGGCTGAACGGGCAAAGGCTAAGCAGCCGCAACCGGCAAAAGCCAAGGCAACTCCAGCCAGCTCACAAGCTGCTCCAAAGGCCGAGCCAAAGGCGACAACATCCAACCATGGATATGATACTGCAGACGCCGCCTTCACCAGGGCGAGAACAGATTACTCGGAATCTTTTCAAGTTCCGAAGAAGACCACTCAGACCCGGATGAGCCACATCCGAACGTCTATGCTCGAGCCTATGATCCAAACCTGGATCCGAATCTGAGATAAGAAAAATTCTCAGAGTTTCACAACAGTGATCACAAGGCTCTAACAAGAGCACAATGAAGGGCTGCATAATTCGGTAGAAGAACATTACCAGACCTGATCCTGTACAGATGATCTCTCTGACCAACATGCATGAGTGTGTGCAAAAGGAGTGACCTCAACAGTGTACTTCAGTGCTATACATAGCATAAACAATATGCTGTTTTTATCATGAGTCCAAACTCCGCAACTGTGACAGTGGGCATAACAGTATATGTGTGAATGTGCGGCCATGCTTCCGGTAAAAGAAAATTAGTGTCTGTTTGAAACCATAAACCTCTAAAGGGGTAGCTCTAACAGGTACCTACAGCAATGGCTGCATGCTCATACATATACATTCCGCTGCCCATTGGCTCACAGTGGTTTTACCATATTGAGACAAGACAAGCTCTCCTTGCGTAGCAAGACAAAACAACTACTGTCCGTGTGCAGGGCGCTGCCCTTTGATCCTTAGGGAATAACTGGTCATACACCTCCTCACAAGGAGTATCCCTTGGGGGTGTATCGGCACAGGGGGGGGGAGGGAAGGGGGAGGGGTGGAGGAAAAAAAGAGGGGGGAGGAGGCCTGGGAGGGGGCGGGTAGGCCCGCAAATCAAAGAAAATGAGGGGAGGCCGGGCAAGGGGGTGGCAAACGAGCGCAAAACCAAACATTTGGGCTGCAGGGAGGAGGATTAGGTGGAGGGTACCTGAGGTAACCACCAAAACGCCTGGGCCTGTGGCCTCGGCGGATATGTACCCCATTCCTCCATTCCATACTAACCAAAGGTAAGTAAACTGCAAGCCGTGTCAGGCGCTGCCTTGCAGATTTTCGACTCATCGGCAAGAGACCCTTGAAAGTGACACATTTTCCAGCCTGAGGATCAGAATCCATGTTCTTGCTCTTAACCCGAACCAGGCAGCGTTCGTAATGCAGGACTCAAGCTTTCTAGCCGAAGTTAGGCCGAAGGTCTGGAACTTGTTGACTCGACCAGCAGGGACATGGCCCGGTGATGGTTAGAGAAGCTTCGCAAACCCTACACCCCCAAGCCTAACCCGTAAACCCTAAACCCCTAAACCCTAAACCCCCTTAGCCTTAATTCCTAAACCTCTAAAACCCTATAAACATGTCGTCAGAGTTGACAGGAGGATGGCTTCGTCTGCCGCAAGCTGGACTTGGTCCAGGCCCGTGGTTTGCATGGCATCCCGGTGCAGTGAAACGGGAGTTTCAGAAAATTAGGAGTGTCTTACTTTGGGGTCCTTGAAATGAGGATCTTACTATTTAGGGCCTGTTTTCGGAAACTCCCAAATGGATGTGGCAGCAGTCTTCCTGGGTTTTGTTTCAGGGTCTCCTCATTAAAACAATATTTTAGCATTAGGAAAAAAGGGTACCAATGTGTTATGAAGCGGCCGCTCAGCAACCTAGTATCAGTTATCACTGCTATCATGTTTATTGACCAATTTTCCTTGTCGAGCGTTGCATGCGGTGTGCCACTGCTGTACATGAGGGGGCGTGAGGGTCCTGACCATCTCAGATCAGCATAGATACTGTATGTGGCGCAGCAACTCTTGCTGAGCTGTGGATGACATGGGTTTCGGGAGGCTGAGGAAGAACCGTGAAATGCGGCGAAGCCATGTCCTGTCCTTGTACTGTGGCTAGTGCCAGGTGAAGGGCAAGAAAGAGCCGACGATCATCTATGAGGCCCGGGCGACACAGGGCACTTTATCATGCAGGCTTTTGGTTTGGAAGTCCAGATGTGCAACATCGAGGCAAGCATTTCGAAACCATCGTGAAGTATCCGCTAGCCGACTATCGGATTGCATCAGTAAGCCTGTACCCCCCTTCACCTGATGAGTTCATGGATAACCCTAAACCGTAAATCCCAGCAGTGAACCGCAAACCTCGACTAAACTCCGAACGTGGTCATCTTCTGCACGAACGACGCCAGAAAATCTTGCCAAGCCAGGTCATTGGGCGTCAGCCTCCTCGAAAAGCGCCTGACACAGCGTGTTGTGGTTTCTTGTAGGGTTTAGGGTTTAGGGTTTTGTGTGACAGCCTGGCTGTTTTGCATCTTGCGTCGTGTTGATTCTTGAACTTTTCTGTATGCTGATACTTCCCGAAGGCCCTGAACCCTAGAACCTCTAAAGTCAAACACCTACATAAGCCTAAACCAAAGTCAAAATCCCTAAAGCACCAAGCCCGAAACCCGAAAGTCAAAAACCCCAATGCCCTGAGCCTTAAACCCGACACCCCTAAAGTCAAAGCCCTAAAGCCGCCCCAAGCGAGGCGGGAGCGAGTAAGCCGACCTCCCCGGTGAATCTCATCCCAGCCTCGCCAGAGTCTCAGACTTTTTAAAAAAGGGGGTGTGGGGGTATCAAGGGGCATTGACGATGAGTTTTTGTTTTGAAAGTGTTTCTTCTTTTAAAGCTGGGTTGTTATGGGGGTTTCTTTAGAGTGTCATGGTCTTGTATAGATGGGCTTTGTATAGGTTCATATGACTAGACTGCTGGAGCAAGAAGCCCTGAGGAGTGGTATTACTACTACTCCTTCAGGCTTCATTGTAATGGTGCCAGTGCAATGGTACGTGAGCGGATTAAAAAGGCATGAGGGGAGTGCGCAACAGCGGGCCCACGTGGGGGCCGGATAGACGTGGCAGAGGATGAAAATCACCCACAACCTGCCAACATGTCATGAGTTTCGTGTCGTCCCGAATGGAGGACGTAGAGGTGATATAATCTCCCAATCCTGGTGCGAGAGATCAGCAAGTTGTTCCTTCGGTTGCAGAGTGCAGTGTAGGCTCGGATCAACTCCTTAAGCCCTAAACCCTGAAGCGCTAAAACCCTTAAACCCCCCACCCCCAAACCCTTGAACCCTAAACCCTTAAACCCTAAATCCAAAACCCTTAAACCCTTAAACCCTTGAGCCCTAAATCCTCAAACCCTGGACCTTTTAAGCCTGCAGGCCCTCTCTCCTAGACCGTTCTCCTCGACGGAACAGAGGTGATCGGCGACTGGAGACGGATTCTCAGAGGGCAGGGTTTAGGGTTTACCTCTATTTCCAAACCCTACAAAATAGTAGGTTATGACCCCTTAAGTGGAGGGTATAGCCCTTAGAACAGTAGGGTTTTGGAACCCCAGGTAGGGTTTCTGTCGTCTCTGTATGGTAGCCAAACAGACTGAGGGCTGAGTTCCTCAGAAGTTCTGCTCACGTAGTTTTGCACATCGGTACCTTGGGTTCTAAGCCGGGATGATTTCCGCGATGCCACGCCGGGATGGCAAAATAACAGACTTCACGGCCTGTTTGTCGGAAGGTTTATATGTGCAAAGGTCTGGTTGAATCCAAGCTGATGTATGGTTGAGTTGTCTATGTCTTGTGCAGCCGAATGTCGACGATCGGACCGATGTCTACGTCGAATCACAGAAAATTCCACCTTCTTGACTTTCCCGTGTTCCGATCGCGTCCATTTCACATCGGGCACGCATTCAAGGCTGCTTCTTGCATGGCTCCTTTAAAGCCAGATGCTGTTGTTCGGCGAGGTGTTGAGATCTCCGCTGGACGACCCTTTTTTCCGTATCTGCGTTCATGCCTGGAGCCCTCCAGTTATCGGCACGTATGTAAGACGAGTAGGCCGACCGAGACGGGAATCGGGATGTGAGGGCAGAAACAGAGGTTTTTCAAAATTTGAGGGGCCGCCATGAAGTAACAACCAGACTACCCTAAACCCTAAACCCTAAACTCTAAACCCTAAACCCTAAACCCTAAACCCTAAGCCCTAAACCCTAAACCCTAAACCCTAAACCCTGTACATCACTTCGCTGTCTGGTATCGAGCGGTGCGTCAAGCCGTACCCAGGTGCCACGAAGGCTGGAAGATCCTTGGACCCCAGATCCTAAATCCTTACCTGGACCCCAAAAGTATGTAGACTAGTAGCCTTTTACAGGTTTTGGGCCATTATTTTACCTACTTTTGGGGGTCTAGGTATTTTAATTCTTCGAAAGGGCTCTCCTTTTTTCTTAAACAAAGACTAAAACCTACAGGACAACTCCCTTTTTCTTGACCGGGTGTCCAGAACCCTGAACCCTAAACCTTAACCCTAAACCTACCTCAAGCCCGAAACCCTAAACCCCTCGGAAGATCCAAGTCCAAGGCCCCGGTCGGCGAGCGCAGACCTCTTGGCCTTTCAGCCTGTACCGCCCACGCGCATCGAGCAGGCCGCCGGACATTCTGCGGCGTTTTGGGGATTTGGGGAAAAGGTTACTGCTGGGACAAGGATTCAGGGGTTCTTGCAGGCTTCAGAGACACCATGAGGGTTCTCATAAGCCCTACTTGCTGTAAGGATTACAATTATGAAGCTCGAGAGCTCGGCTTCGCATTCTCTGCATACGAGTTTTAGGTAGCCCTCTTTTGAGTATAATGAGCCCCAAAATCCCATTCTAAATTATTAAGGCCCCTACAGTTAGCTCTGGCTCCTCTGATGGAGCCGGGCCGGCGAAAGCCAGGGGAAGGAGGAGGATCCTCACTCACTTCCTTCGCAGCTAACTGAAACCCTAAACCCCAAGCCTGCAACAGTAAACCATCAAAACGTGTTTAGGGTGCATATTTATGTTCGTGTATGTATGTATGTATGTATGTATGTATATATGTATCTATATATACATATGATGTATATAGATGTATGTATGTACCGAAGCCCCACGCCAGGCTCAGCTTTACGAGCAGGCCTTGCAAGCCTACACGCAGCAGCAGTTTTCCGAGGCCGGCTCCTTTTCAGAACTCGCGACAGTCTGCTCTGCAAGAAGGTATCGGGTGTATTCTGCTCCGTAAGAATATACCTGGTAGATGCTACTTTGTAAGAGAGTATCTGGCATATTCTGTTCTGCTCTGTAAGAAAATGTCTGGTATCTACGCAGTAAGAAAGTATTTAGCCCGGTACACTTTTTGGATTTCCTAGAGCATAAACTAAAGCATTGGCGGTACGGTTCGGAGGCATGTTCAAGACGATGTTCAACTCCGGCCTCAAAGCCCAAACACTAAACTCGAAGACCCTAAACCCCAGCATGTCTGAAACATCGAAAAACTCGAAGCCCTAACCCTCAAGAGGGCTTGCGGGATCAGATGACTGGCTGCTGTCACCAGCTTGCAGCCTTATTGCTCGTCCGTTCGGTAATATAGGGGCCTTAGGAAATTGCCACTACGATTTTGGGGGTTCCTTCTTGTCTTGTGATTACAGTATAGTGTACCCTAAGACCCTATTCTAGCTATATTTGAGTTTATATGCTTGGTGAGTGCAGAATACAAGGCTCCTTGGGAGCAGTGTTCATGTCAAGTTGCGGTGTTACTGTATCAGGGGCACACCCATAAGAAACCCCCAAAGCGTACAACCTCTGACCCCCAAGTCCTAAACCATACGGTTGATGATATAAATCCTGCATTACCCATCATCAGGAATATACCATAATACCCATAGTTTAGGGTCCCTAAAGCAATGCAGGATTTATATCACCAACAGTAAAACCCTAAACCAAAGCCTAAAGCCCTAGATCTCCCCCCCAAAATCCCTCAGCCCTAAACCCTAAACCCCCTAAACCCTAAAACCCTAAGCCTTATTAGAACCCTCAACCCTAAACCGCAAAATCCCTCAACCCTAAACCCTAAAGCCTTAAACCTTACTTCATATGAGCTACACATATTGCGAGAGCCTTTGCCTCGAATGCCTCGGAGGCGACTCAATTGGCTGCACAACTTTTGGAGGAGCTGGGAAGTTTGGTTCACAGTAAGATATTGTGTTATGCTAGCTATATTATGTAATACTGTATCTCGTATAAAAGTACGTCATAAAGGTATTGTGTCATACTAACTACACTATATGATTCTGTATATCGTAGAAGAATATGTTATATTACAGCACAAACAGAACACCCACAAACATAATGAAGGTAATATCCCGACAAGGGGTCTGGCGCAGGATCGTCCAGAAGACGTAGCTGCTCAACGCCTCCTCAAGTGATCCTGCTCAGAGGGAGTTTGCAAGGAGGTCTCGGTTCAATCTTCTCCGCCTGCTTTTGCGGATGATTCGTCGTAACTCAGCCAATGTTTTAACTGACAAAGCCTGCCGGATCCGCCTCAGTGCCGAGTCTGCAACTTGGGTTTCGCAGCATTCTGATCTCTGCTTTGATGTTCTCACAACGAAGGAGATGTCTAGACTGTCTAGATTGAAGCACCGTGCAATCTAGCCTCTCCTTGCATCAAAGGCCTCAAACGATGGGAGACAGGCAGGCGGGTTCGCGGATCCCTTTATTCCGAGATCCTAAACCGCAAACCCATTATTCCTTTGAAAAATATACAGCGTGCTGCAGACTGGCAGCGGGGCTCACCCCTAAAACCCTGAACCCTAATCCCTAAACCCTAAAACCCTAAAGCCCTAAAGCCCTAAAGCCCTAAGCCCCAAAACCCGAAACACGCGAAGCTCGGGCCAATGAGGCGATCCCACAGCTTGGCTGCGAAGGTCCCGCACTCAAATGAGTCTCGGTGCCTGCTTGGAGGATCCCAGTTTTCGAGTGGCTCCGCGTCAGATCAAGCTTAAACGCCTCTTGCGCACGAATTTGGGGGCAGGCTCGATCTTCAAACCTGGCTCAAACCCATTCGCTTGCACTCCGAGGCTTTTCGAAGGCATCTTCAGTCGATGTGCAAGATATAGGAGATTCGGCAGCTAGGACTGCTGCGGTAAGGGTAAGGCAGGCTGGGGATAATTAGCCAGAGGCAGGTTCCGCAGCATTTTGCTCCCCGTTACCCCAAAATGCCGAAAGGGTCCTATGTACTGTTATGGGTGATACTTCCCCAAGGCATAATAGTGATTCCTAATATGAAAACCCTACATTGTATTCTATCGGTACAAAGGACCCTTTGGAATCGTAAATCCCGAAATCCAACAGGAGCCTTGTAACAAGCGTTGTGGTGACAACGGCCTCTTATCTTTGAGAGTCCCTAAATAATTGGCTATACTATTTTTGGGGGTTCCTTATTCCAATTATCGCATAATGGCCCCCCCAAAACCCTAATCTAGTTATTAAGGCCCCTATATCATGGAACCCTACTACCCCTTTACAGGACCCTTAAAAGAACCCGATTCTAATTATTAAGGCCCCTATATTAGCATGCCAACGCGGCCTCTAAGAGCGGCCTGTGCAGACAACGCAAGAGTCGAGCACTACGCAGGAGAGGCAGCAGATGTGGGGGTTTCCGAAAATTAGGGGTACCTTATTTCGGGGTCCTTAGATCCTACGATTTAGGGTGCTATATTAGGGTCCCCTATTTTCGGAAACTCCCAGATCATCTGGCACTCATCTCCATCGGAAGCTTCCGTGCCCCTTCAAGCCTAGGCCATAGAGGCCCTAGTGGCCTGATAGGCCCAACTTAAGCTCCCCACACCGCTAAAGGCTGCTGGTGGGCCAGAAGATGCAGAGCTTCACCAGGACTTGCGACAGCACTCTGGAGCCCTGAAATCATGTACATTTTTGGACTCAGGACTTCAAAATGTCATGGGTTATGATAAAGGGTATGCAGCATGCAGTTGCAAGAGACGCTGCTAGAGTTCTTGAGGGCAACGCCGCGACCTGTATGCCGGATTTGGAGGTGGTCTCCCATCATGGTGCGTTCAGGGGGGCACCCGACCTGATAGCAACAATGCTTGAAGAACAAGTAGCATCATTCCTTGGAGTGCCTTGTAATGCTTATACTATCATATACCCAAAACTACCAAAACTCCTCTAAGAATTCAGGCCCCAATACACCTTGCTCCCTGCTGAAGCTCGGAGGAATTAGCTGCTTGGTCGGCTGTTGTGAGCATCACTGAGAAGTGAGCGCAGGCCCTCGGCTTCATCTAGGACCTAGAGTAGTCCCGTAATCCTTGTTTAAGCGTTCAGGTTCCCTTATTAGCCCCTTTAAACCAAAAAGGGCACCCTTTTTATTCCTAGGTTATTCTTGGGTCTAGTCATGTGTTCTAAGACTCCAGGGTGCTGAGGCCTAGCAGCACAAGACCACAGATACAGATACATATGTGTATGTGTGTATATATAAACACACATACACATGCATGTGTATATGTTCTATCATGCTTCGACTCTACTGAGTTCTACTCCGCTTAGCACTGCTCTGCTCTGCCGTACTATATTGTACGACACACCATAGTCGACTCTTATACCACACTACAACTGTGCTCTGTACCGTGGATAGTTGAAACTGTTGATGATATAAATCCTGCATTACCTTACGGACCCTAAACTGTGGGACTTCTGGTATACTCCTTATCATGGGTAATGCAGGGTTTATATCATCAGCCGAGTCACGAAGTTCCACCCTCTTGCCCACAGGTGCGAACCCTGAGCGGAATAGCCGGGCCTTCTCACTTCATATGCGGGGCCAGAGCGGCAAGACGATGAACGAGCCTTGAAGCGCCGTGCATTTGGCACTTTTTCCGGAATGCTTGATCTTGTGGCTCCTGCGCCTCGCATTGCATGATGAGAGTTAGAGAACGACTTTGCGTCCCAACACCGGAAAGACCTTCAGCAATGCACATTCTGAATCTGCAATGTGATTCCCGTAAGCCTCACATGAATTCAGGCACCCCAGCTTACACAGGGCTTGGGGTCCCTCTCGCTCAGCAAGGGCACCGCCACTTTAGACAAAAGGACACATGCAGTTGTGGTTTAGCTCTTCCATGTTCTCGCAGCTTCGGGGTTGTTCCGGCCCGAGTTGCGCTTTCAGGTCACTACATTTTCGATCTTCACAGATTTCGCAGACTAGCTGTCTCAGTGATGTTTTCCCATTCAGGGAATAAGGACCCGGGACTGGGATATGTCCCCGGGAGTAGGACCTTCAAGTCCTGCTTCTCTACTTACCTTTGGTCCGTAAGGAATGGAAGAATGAGGTACAATTATAACTACTACTACTACTACTACTACTACTACTACTACTACTACTACTACCACTACTTCCATTCCCTACTAACCAAAGGTAAGGCTAGGACACGTTTTTGTTGTGATGGACTCCCTAAGCCCTAAACCCTAAACCCCGCGGGGACCTCATCGTGTATGGCATGTGCACTTCCCTGGCGATGAAAGTTTGAACTCCTGTGCTGTGGTGAAATGATCCATGTAGTAGTAGTAGTAGTAGTAGTAGTAGTAGTAGTAGTAGTAGTAGTAGTAGTAGTAGTTGAAGAGCACGATCGTCCGACTCTTCAGCTGAAGGTGCTAAGGCCATGCGACGACGCCTCAGTATCGTTCCGAATTTTATCGGATGATCCCCGAAGGAATCCCCAGACCATCAAACGCGGGCGCAACCCTCAACTTTTCACACACACACGGCACATGTTGTCCTAAGGGCTTCTGTGCACACCTTAGGCTAGTCGATATGACTGTGCTCATGCTGCTGGCTTTTGCCGATCATGGCACATCTGTCATCGTAAGACAGGCTTCTGCCGATCTTGGCACGGCTCCTTGAGCCATCCGCTTGACAACGAAGGATCCTGATCGTACAGCAAGCTCCACTCACTGACCTTTACACAAGGGAGGGCTTCAGGCATCAGCACCCCTCCTTGATGCTCCCGAAAGGGAGCTATCATTCCGTCGCTGCCTGAAGTCAACTGGCTCAACGATCTCCCAAGTTCTCGGGATTGTTTCTCCAGTCATTCAAGCAGTACTGGCACATAGACTTGCGCACGGCCCTCGAAGCATTCCGGAGCCCGTGGCAATCAGGCCTCAAGTGGGCCCTGTCACCATTTGGACTCACAAACAGATCTCCTTCCCATGGCTGCACAATGTACCGAATCTTCGGGTCAACAGCCGATGGCCTCGCCGTTGCCTTGGCAGCATCCCACGGGTCTCCTGGATCCGTCTGCACGCCACGACTCCACTTTTCCGGCTGGAATCGCTCCCTGCTTTGGGTCTCTGGCCTCGAAGTGGTAGTCGACGACAAGGCGCTCCTGCCTCGGGAGTCGCTGCCTGACGCTGAAGCCTTGACTTCAGCCCCACTCAGCGCTCCAGGCATTGTGGCCTGGTATTTTGAAATCAAAGCCTCCAGCCTCGCCTCTTGCTCACCAGACCGCTCGTCTATTCCCAGCAGCGCTAGCAGCTCCTTGTTCTCGCCCTTTGACAGCCCAGGCCTTGATGCCTTCTTCATCATCTTCATAGTCACAGCCTTCTTCACACCACCAGCAGTCCTCTTGCTCCACTCCCAAACGACAATTGTAGTAATCATCACCAACAACACGGCAATCCAAAGCTCATGCTCAGAATCCACCCCAGTGTAGGCTTGATGACTTCCAAGCTCCTCGCCCGTCACGCCAGCAAGCAGACCTAAACCAACTAACACCTTGGTACACTTACTCAGGGTCCCTTCATTCCATGTCGGTGCTGTTGTTGTGCTAGCTTGTGTGGCTGCTGTTGTGCTTGCTTGTGTGGCTGCTGTTGTGCTTGCTGCTGCCGCGGCTGCTGCATTGTGCTTGCCCACGTGGTCTTCAAACTTGACCGCCTTGATCTCGACAGGCACCGCCCCTTTGAAGAAGCCCCAATCTCCCAACAGCTTCCATGAGCGCTCCGAGCTGAGCTGTTTGGTGAGCCCATCTGCTAACTGGCCAACTCCCGGCTGGTGGTTCAGCTGGTACTCCTCGGAGTCCACTAACTCAACCAACCAATTTTCACGAAGGCGTAAGTGACGTGTTCTCCAGCTTCCGCCCGAACTTGCAACAGCAATGGCCGCCGTCGCATCAACTCGTAGCTCCGTGACTCCAGGCACGATGCCCATGTCAAGTAGCGTAGTCCTCACGGATCTCACGAGCTGGGCCCCTTCGCTCAACGCAATCAACTCTGCTTCAGCACTACTCAAAGCAGTGAGCCCTTGATTGGCTGCCCGCCAGCAGATGGGAACTCCCCTCCACATCACAAGAGTCCCCGAAATAGACTTTGACCCAGCCGGAGAGTGCGAGGCATCGCTGAACATCACTAGATCACTCCGTTGGTCCCTTTCAACGATGAAACCGGCATCGCGGGTGGCGTTGTAGTACGAGAGGATCTTCTTCGCGATCTGAATCGCTCGCTCCGGCCACCTCGTAGTCAACCTTGCCATCATCATCGCCGCGTAGCTTGCGTCTGGCCTGGTTCTCTGGGTTGTCCAAAGGATTTCACCGCAACGTTGTTGGGCTTCCTTGATCAGCGCCGGGCTTTTGTCGGCGTCCTCCGGGATCTCCTCTGTAGCCCACTCCTTGAGGTACGGGACCTTGCTGAATGTTGTAACTTCTCTCCGTCGCAACAACTCATCAACATAGCCCCGCTGCGCAATCTTCATTCTCCCATTTGGCTCCACAGATAGCTCCAGGCCCAAAAATCGCACAACGGAGTCCTTCGTCACCTCCTCCCGGCCGCTAGTCTCCCATGTAGCTTCCAACCAATCGTAGAAACCATGGACAAACTCTGGTGGTCCCACGGCCAACGTGTCATCGACGTAGAACAGCACATAGCCCACAACCTTCTCGGTCCCATCCTCCTGAACCTCGACAAGCTTGTGCAAGTTTTCATCCGTCACGCAGGCAACGACCTTCACCTTGCGCCCGGCCCTTGACTTCCACTCGGCCTTCCGAACGGTCTGGTTTCTATGTTCAGACCACCAACGGGGAGACCGTTGAAAGCCATAAACGGCTGCTGTGGCAAGCCATAGCTCACCTGGCTCGGCGAGCTGTGCTCTCACCATAGCACGTGGCGCCTCCATGGCGTAGCGCCGCCCATTTGGCATCTCCGGAATTGGAGCTCTGAGGAACGCGGTCTTGATGTCGTCAGTCACGGCGACCCAGTCCTCATGTGCGTTCTTCTCTGCCAGACACAGCCTCACCAGGTCTATCGTAGCCCCAGCAGAGTAGATGTCGCCAAGCTCCTCAGCAGTTTCTCCAGCAAAGTTTCCACAGGCCACGCTCCGCACTTTGCGTCGAACTTCTCCCGGAGTTCCACTGGGCTTCACTGTGAAGACCAGCTTGCTGGGTACAATGACCACATTCGGGTCCCTTCTCAGCGCCGCGGCCTCTGTGCCCCGGTACTTCTTGATCGCTGTCATCTGTTCCAGCGAGCTGAGTTCAGCCTTCATGGCTGGTACCCACTTATCCACAACTGGTAGAACTTCTCGTGGATCGACAGTGTGGGTCACCTTGAGGGGATTGTCGGGGCTCACCTTCGCTAGGAGGTCCTCGATGTTCGGGGTGTACAGGGTATCTTGGGTGGCCTTCATCATTCGGGCCTCCCCCTCCTCAGCGATCTCATTTTCCGAAACCTCGACAAACCACATCAACGGCTCAGGTTCTTCAACTCTCATCATCGCAACCCGAGGCATCACCCTTCTGTGATCGTGATCATCTGGTCGCGGATCTGGGCCTTCAGGGGGTCCTGGTCCTCCACGGTCCCTTACAGGATCATCTCTAGGCACTCTTCGAACAATGACCTGCCGGTGAATCCACAAAACAATCACCTCCTCAATGTTCATCACATCGTTACGGATCTTGAACGCCTTGATGAAGGACGCGTTTCTGGCATCTGGGTCGTAGTCGGGAACTCGGTAGGACCTCAGCGCTAAGAACCTTCCCACTTGCAGCTCCTCGCCCTCCTCGGACTCCAAGTAGATCCTGGGATGTTCAGCCCAATCCCTTCCAAGATCCGCCACTATAGCCGCTGGGATCACTGAGTTCAAGTCTCCATCAACTGGCTGAACCAACCTCCACCTTGTTGCCATCTCGGGGATGAAGTGGTCCACGCCGTATCTAGCGCTCGTAGTTTCCCACTCTTCCTCAGACATCCTGATGTGCATCACAGACTCAGTCGTC